GTGATGAGGGAGCATGGAGATGGCTTCCCGGCCAATCAGGAAGCTCACTCTCCTGATGGACTACAATCTCATGTTTAGTTTTCTAATTGTATTGAGATTGTAGTCCATCCCGGGAGCGAGCTTGGAGCGGTGACTACTTTACAACACACACAGGGACCATGGGGAACAAAAGTAGCCCCCCTCCAGAAGGAAAGAGTGTCAGCACCAATTCAGACATGATTTGAGCAACTACTGCCGAGTGATACACAAATAAGATACATTGTTGTTAATACTTAAGGTACTGGAATGCATTTTTAAGCTGTAACTCTTGAGTTTAGTGTCATTTTATGACTTGTGTGACCTCAGGATAGCGCAGACCCCATACCCCCTTGACGCACATCATTACCAAAGTCTCAATCCCCTTAGAGCATCACATCATTTATCATCAATGCTTTTTGGAACAGTTGGATTTACTAACCTAGGAACCTGGATCATTGGGTTCTCAACAGGGGTGTGTTACTTACTTAGGACGGTAGTCTTACCCAGTGTTATATGTATTCACTTGAATGGGCTGAGCTCAATGCAAATAGAAATATATCTCTGGACCAGTGGACGGTCCTCTGTCGTCCCTTTCAGGATGTAGGTGGCCAGGTTTATTGGTCACCTAGACAGAATACATGGAATTACTGGTAGTGAAATGTACACAGGTGTTACATGTGTGTTTATCTACTACTCGGAGTTCTATCATTCTGGTAATAGATCATCCTACAGGACAACTGTCCCCCACCTCTGCTCCCACCAGAACACCTATTATCACATTAGTGGAGCAGAGGGACGTTATCATACTGATCCACTGCGCAGTCATGCAGGATGTAGATGATTTATAAGACTGTTGAACCTCATACAAACGTCATCAATTCTATCTGTGAAGGAAGAGGAACTCACTGACATGGCACTGTAAGTAAAATGATAACACTGCTGCTATCAGGATCAGAATTGAACACACACTGAGATTTTCTGCCATGACCACTGCTTGAAAATATTTTATTGCAACAGAAATTCCAAATCATACGCCAAACCCAACTTTTATTAGACCTAGAATCAGCCATGTTAAGTGCAGCATACTAGGTAATATGTAACTGTAGCACTTCCAGGTATTCATTACCTCTCAAAGAGATTGCAGCACTGCCCTCGACAATGCCTTCAATTTGCTTTTCTTTTCAGAAAGATGGAGCCATCTTTGTTCACGTACCACCCAGAGTCACCATTTACTTCCTAGAATAGAGTCGTTATCTCAGGATTGGCACAGTCATGTAAACCATGGTGCCTATGCAGTTCTTGGACTCCTGATAAAATGCCAAATCTGAGTCTTGCAATAATGTAGCACATGCAATGGAAATCTTTAATAACGTTGCGGTTCATGTTCTATTAACCAGTTGACAGCCACGGTGTTAAACCCCCTTCCCATCCAGGCCATTTTTCAGTATTCAGCGCTGCGGTACTTTGACTGACATTTATGCCGTATTCTCCGGTCTTCCCCCAGGGTAGAGAATCTAAAACATTTGTAGTATGGCAAGCCAAAGGTATTTCCCTCCTCCGAGACATCCTAGATGCACAAGGCCGTTGCAAACAATTTCGACAATTACAGGCAGACCATCAAATACCCCCTACTCACTTCCTACAATACGCACAGATTTCACGATTCATCAGAAACAACTTACCCGCTCCTAGGACACTACATACCCCCTCACCTTTTCAGAGACTCCTCTCATCGCCCTCACAGAAAATGCCGCTCTCCCACATAGTCCAATCTATAAGATCCTGTTTGCTCCCCTCACCTGCTCAGCCCTTTTCAACGCAGGTAACCAGATGGGCTACCCTCCTACAGGTCTCGCTGGAGGATGCAGATCAACTGCTGCTTCAGGGATGGCTTGATCTTAGGAAAGCCATCACCAGCGAATCCTGGAGGGAAACTCAGTTTAAACTCATTCATAGGGCATATTACGCCTTTAATATCCATTACAAGAACCCGCCCCCGAATTGGCTGACGTCCTGCCCCAAGTGCCAGACAGCTTCCCCAAATCTAGACCATCTTATATGGCTTTGCCCTGTTATGCAAGCATTTTGGACAAGGGTCCTCGCTTACATGAACTCCATCTCAGGCGAGCTGAGGCACCTGCATCCGACCCTCTGCCTTTTTCACGTAGCCGATCCACTGGCCACAACTCCTCACCGAGATCCGTCTAGGTGGGAACACCTCTTTCTGCTTGCCGCAAAAAAAACAATCCTCACAAACTGGTTGATACCAGCTCCCCCATCATTGAAATCGCTGAAGGACCTCCTACAGAAATTGCTCTCGCTAGACCAATTAGACGCCCAGCTAAACCAACCCCTTACGGCCAAGTTCTTTGCCACCTGGTCCTCTTTCTTATTGTCTGAATACACACCAGAAAGACTAAAAGAAATAATGACAGGGTTCCAATACACTACATGGTATCTCACATCGAAAATAGCTGGATCTTTAGGTGCGTTAGATGTCCTTTAACGTTCCAACAGTCGACTCCTTCTACTTATCCTGGTCCTACACATTTTAATAATTTTAAGGATTTCACTATTTGAACTCCCGTAATGCCTTGTCTGCTTACATATGTGGCCCGGCCAATGATTCAATGGTTCCATGGATTGATTGACATGTTGAAATGTTGCTAAGTACTTCACTGTTTCATTCTGTAGACTATTACTTTGATACAACTGCATTTATCCGTGTTTTGATGATTATGTTTGTCTTGAAAAATGCTCAATAAAAGATTACATGCTAAAAAAAAAAAAATTTGAAATTCTTCCAGAAAACTGTCCATCCTGTTTGGGAGAAGGCAATCCAAACATCTGTACTGTCTGGATGAATATCCCATAATGCCCTGAGTCTCCACTATAGTCAGTCAGCAACCAGGGGCCATCAGGGACCAAGTACCCTATGTGGGGAGAACATGTCTCCCCATATGGACTCTGGAAACCATGCTTGTCCCCTCTTAGGACCTTCTGCCTCTGTGCTACTCTTTTAAAATATAGAATTTTTATAAGACAAATACATTATTTTCTTTTCACCTACGCTGTGGCATTACCTTGTGACTTTTCTGCTATCTCACTTCTTCAAACTAAAGCATTACAATATTAAAAGTGAATTATAAAACATTAAAAATATTACATTACAATATTTTGGAAGCAGAGATGGGTTTTTCCCAAAATGTGTCACTCTCCGCTACCTCCTCCTCCTTGTCCTCTTATTTCATGTCCTTTCCAAGGACACCCCCTCTACCTGATTTTCAACACCATCAGGACCTGCAAAGCCACAGCAGGTGGGCTTGGCCCCTAAGTAGCACTCACAACTGTTGGGTTCCACCAATTGAAATGAAAAATAAATCGTTAAATAAAAACATCAATACATAGGATACATAACTAAATTAATAAAGCAAAAGAGATACATTTTAAAAGATATGATTGAAACATTTCAGACGTTATTATTATTATTTTTTTGAAGATAGCTTCAAGGACATTTTGCCTCTGTTTTAAGGCCTGTCTAATTTTTTAGGAAGATCCCTCCAAGGGTTTTCTGTCACACTCTTGGATCTATGCTGCAAGACCAAAAATTCCCGATTACATCCCAATGTAAGAGAAAGGAAACAGAATGCATCATTAGTAGGAGGTGCCTTTGATGTGCTTGTACAAAACCTTTACTAATGGTAGCAGAGATGTTGTACCTCCGCTACCCATGGTGGACAAGCAAGTAGCACCACCACCATCAGGGGATGCCTAACAGAAGTGTTATTTTCCAGGCAGCCATTAATGCTATTTAGCAATATTTTTATTTTCCAGAAATGTTTTGGATTCTTTTCAAGATTTGATTGCTGAAAGTTAATATTTATTTTTGAAGTAGTTTGTTTGTACTATTTGTTTGTACTATTTTGCCTCTGTCATTCCCTCTGAAATAAAAGTTTGGCTGTTGAGTGATAGCAAATAAATTGCAACAGTGTATCTAAAGCTGCATTTTTATATAGCGTATGGAAGGATTGGAACCGCCTGTCAAGTTATTATTGCAGTCTATGTCCCTGTGGGGGAGATTTATCCTCCCTCTCTGTCCTGGTGAAGATTGTCACATGAATGGAGTGACAATCCTCAATGTTATAGTAGTCACCGGAACAGGAGGTGAGGGGAAATCTTTCAAATGGGAGTAGCACAGCTGTTCCAAAAACTGTCTAAGAGGGGATTTCTCTGTACTATATCATCTTACTTTCGGCAGTGCCCCTAAAAGTTTGGCTATAGATACACTTTAAAAAATAGAGTTGGCCTTTTTGATGTGCTGTTTGAGCCTCTTATAGACAGACATGGAGAGACTGAGCGGAGGGGCTACATGACTGGGGGGGAGGAATAGTCCCGGGAGAAATAGTTAAGAGAAAATGGGAATAGCTGCTCTTACCTGATTGGACGTGGGAGTCAGGAACTGCGAGGGCTGAGGGACGTCCTCTTTCCGGAAATCGACGAAGGAAGCAGGTTGTCCCACCCTCCCTTAATGTTGTGATTATGGGTGTTTTCGGGGGTACTTTTGTCACGGCAGCTTGGCGGGTTAGGGTTAACCCTAACCCCTTTTCAGGTCAACCATCATTTACAGTATTATTTGTATATATTATTTGGTTTATTACTTTTGGTTAGGTTTTTGTTTGGTTTAATAAAAGGTCTGCTGTGGCCATTAAAATCCATGTCACGCAGTACGAGTGTTTTTTTTGGGTTTTGAACGAAGGGACGAAAATTGACGAATCCATCAGTCAAGAGATACTTAAAAGACAACACTAAACAGACAACTCTTCTATGTGTCATTTGGAAGCTTGTTTTACTTTTGTTACTACGATCTACCTGTTCATTGAGACTGCCCCCATTACCATTAAGGGTAAGCTTGTCATTCAGACCTTTTTAAAGGTCCCATGTCCATCTTTCTTTAACAGGTAACTTTCTGGCTTACCCCCAAAATGATCAGCCTGCATGTATTGCTCTGGAACCTGGTCCTGCCCCAGCTTATAAATGCCCCCAACTCTGAAGATACCCAGTGCCGTCTGGATGTAGCGGATCTGGAGGGAATAACACAGACTGGAGATGTGATGATTGGAATTGTGCTACCTTTTCATCTATTCTATGAATACAAGCTTAACACCTTCACCAAGAGACCACCCAGGTCCACCTGCTCAAAGTAAGTGATATCTGTGGTAGGTTTGGTAGGTCTGGTATTCTTGAATGCCTTGATTGTGTAAAATTATAAATTAAATATTTTACTGTCAGCAGTAGATAGGTAGACATTTAACACTTTCGCTGCCAAGCCCTCCGGAACATTTTGCACCTCAGCTGGCCACGCTATTTTTGCAATTTTTCCCATTGATTTGATTTTCAACTGCTGCATTGCTGGCGTTTGTAAAAGACCCCCCAAACCATATATTTTCTGAAAGCGCAGGCCCGGTAGAATAAAAAGATGGTGCTACTCAATTTGTGCAATAATAATTGCGCAAATGTTTCTCAAATTAATATTAAACCGATAAAAATACACCATTCAATTGACAAAGCACACTAAAATCAGTATCAGCGCAGGGGCAGGGAAAGGGTTAAGCTGCGGAAAAATTTGGTTCTGTTCGGATATTACGATTCGGTTCTGAAATTCAATTTGGTTCTGTCACAATGTCCGGCAATCCATGCCGTATTTTTCCTTTGGTCTCTGGTGCTGGGCTGCCAGCCTCTTGTGATCCACAGGGCTGCAGCCAATCAGCAAACCTCCGCCCCTATATACCCCTTCCTCACTTGTTGCCCTGTGTTCGAGCAACAAGTCCTATCCTTTGTGCCGGACTCCCTGGGATTTCTTGTTTCCTTTTCTGGATCCCTGCATTCTCGATCTTTCCTATGTTTCTGGTCTCCTGTGCTTTTGTACCTTTGTAGATTCCTGTGTTGGGTTACTTCCCTTGCTTCCCTGTGCTTTGTGTTTTACTCCAGCGTACCTGGTAACCTCCCTGTTGGCTTTTCCCTCTTGCTCATTCTTGTGTCCCTGTTTGTTGCAGTTCCTGATTGCTCCTGTGTGTTGGCCCCCTCCTTGCTTGTATGTTCGCACTCCCTTCTCTCTGTCCTCTGGTGCAAGGCACATTCCCCTAGTGCTGTCCTTGTGCATGGCATCTGGTGCATCTGTGGCTGTGCTGCGCAGGTCTCCCATTGCACAGCTTCCAGTATATTTATGTTTGAGTCTTCCTGTATGTTCCCCGGTGCATATCACCTAGAGTTCGGGTAGTTCTGTGTTACGGACGCTCCCCTGTGTATACGCGCTATATTTGAGCTCCTGTATTTGCACCATCTCTTGTGTGCATCTTCCCTGCATAGCATGCTCCCTTTGTGCATTCTCAGTATTAATGTCATATGTCCTTTTATGCTCCCAGTGTGTCCTGCTAGTGGATGGTAATCACCTCCTCTGTGAGCCTTTGCACCTGTGCTGTTCCTGCATCCCTCTGGTCTCTGAGTGTACACCGATTGTGTAGGAAACCTGTGGTTATTTTGCTCTGCACTATTGTGCACCTCCCCCTTTCTCCTGTGCAAACACCTGTTGTGTGTTCCCTTGTGTTACCTGCTCCCTGTGCCACGCATGTTCCCTGCGTCTTCCCACTAGTGTCTGTTTTCTATATCTTGTAGCCTATTTCTTATCCCATGTGCTGTCTGGCACCCTGTGTCTTGTGGTCCCTGAGTACCCGCTGGCACTGTGCCTGCACGGGTGTGTGAGAGAGCAGCATCCTAGGAGCTGTCCCGCAGCTCAACATCCACACCATCAGTGGCTCTGGGGAAGACCAGGCGGCTCCTTAGATCCTGCAACTCTGGCACACCTGCGTTTGTTGTGCTGTCACACTGTCCCTGCATCTTCAGAGACCTGTATCCTTGCCCATTCCTACTTCAGTCCCTTTATACTGCTCCTGGTGGTCCAGTGCCCTAATCGTGACAGGTTCAAGGTCTGAATCTCCTAGACCCAAATGGTACTTGGGATCTGAATTGCATTGGGGAGCTCCTGAATGCCATTCGGATTTGGGAGCCTTATACATACTGTATATTACTAAAGCTGAGGCTCCCAAACCCAAATGGCATTCAGGAGCTCCCCAATGCAATTCAGCAATTCGGATCCCAAATACCATTCGGGTCTAGGAGCCTCAGCTTTAGTATTATATGTATACACTGTATATGGCTCCCATGTTGCCGTAACGAAACTTTGTGTTCAGATCCATTCGGATGCATTAAACTGAAAAACACAACTGATTGGCCAGAAAAGTCACATGTCCGATTCATTTCCGTTTATGAATGAAATTTGGACGGGATTCAAAATTTGGAAACGGAAATTTGGATTCGGACACATTCGGATGCATTGGGATTCGGATGTGTCCAAATGTACAAATTTCGTCTGAATTTTGATTCGGTTCGAAATGAATCGCACATGTCTGATAGGTAGTAAACCAGTGAACAGTAGATTGCTAGCTCTAGAAAAGTCTACAACAAGGCTCAAAAAAAATCTCAGATAAAGGATCTTGTTCAGACATTGAACTGGGCTAAGCGAAAGCTGCTACTGCATGGGGGAATCCAGCATGTGCCTCGAAGAGCGAGGCACAAGCAGCCACACAAGGACAGGTGCAGGGGCTCACATAGGGAAGGAAACCCCTCCACTAGCAGGACAGCAGGGCCTCACAAGGAGTACAGAGAATCACAGCACACATAGGGAGCATGAATAGGCCGGAGCCTAGGGCAAGCAGAGATATCTGTACAGGGGAAGGTACTAGTTACAGGCACACAGAAGAGAGCACAGAGATAGCGGGGAAAATCGTACAAACATGGTAGGATACCAGCACACAGGAACTACATCACATAGGAACACAAGAACCAAGCAAGCTAGGAATAGCCAACAGGGAGATCATGAGCAAAGGGGGAAATACCAACAGGGAGGTCACGAGCAAAGGGGGAAATGCCAACAGGGAGGTCACGAGCAAAGGGGGAAAATGCCAACAGGGAGGTCACGAGCAAAGGGGGAAATGCCAACAAGGAGGTCACGAGCAAAGGGGGAAATGCCAACAGGGAGGTCACGAGCAAAGGGGGGAATGCCAACAGGGAGGTCACGAGCAAAGGGGGAAATGCCAACAGGGAGGTCACGAGCAAAGGGGGAAAATGCCAACAGGGAGGTCACGAGCAAAGGGGGAAATGCCAACAGGGAGGTCACGAGCAAAGGGGGAAATGCCAACAGGGAGGTCACGAGCAAAGGGGGAAATGCCAACAGGGAGGTCACGAGCAAAGGGGGAAATGCCAACAGGGAGGTCACGAGCAAAGGGGGAAATGCCAACAGGGAGGTCACGAGCAAAGGGGGAAATGCCAACAGGGAGGTCACGAGCAAAGGGGGAAATGCCAACAGGGAGGTCACGAGCAAAGGGGGAAATGCCAACAGGGAGGTCACGAGCAAAGGGGGAAATGCCAACAGGGAGGTCACGAGCAAAGGGGGAAATGCCAACAGGGAGGTCACGAGCAAAGGGGGAAATGCCAACAGGGAGGTCACGAGCAAAGGGGGAAATGCCAACAGGGAGGTCACGAGCAAAGGGGGAAATGCCAACAGGGAGGTCACGAGCAAAGGGGGAAATGCCAACAGGGAGGTCACGAGCAAAGGGGGAAATGCCAACAGGGAGGTCACGAGCAAAGGGGGAAATGCCAACAGGGAGGTCACGAGCAAAGGGGGAAATGCCAACAGGGAGGTCACGAGCAAAGGGGGAAATGCCAACAGGGAGGTCACGAGCAAAGGGGGAAATGCCAACAGGGAGGTCACGAGCAAAGGGGGAAATGCCAACAGGGAGGTCACGAGCAAAGGGGGAAATGCCAACAGGGAGGTCACGAGCAAAGGGGGAAATGCCAACAGGGAGGTCACGAGCAAAGGGGGAAATGCCAACAGGGAGGTCACGAGCAAAGGGGGAAATGCCAACAGGGAGGTCACGAGCAAAGGGGGAAATGCCAACAGGGAGGTCACGAGCAAAGGGGGAAATGCCAACAGGGAGGTCACGAGCAAAGGGGGAAATGCCAACAGGGAGGTCACGAGCAAAGGGGGAAATGCCAACAGGGAGGTCACGAGCAAAGGGGGAAATGCCAACAGGGAGGTCACGAGCAAAGGGGGAAATGCCAACAGGGAGGTCACGAGCAAAGGGGGAAATGCCAACAGGGAGGTCACGAGCAAAGGGGGAAATGCCAACAGGGAGGTCACGAGCAAAGGGGGAAATGCCAACAGGGAGGTCACGAGCAAAGGGGGAAATGCCAACAGGGAGGTCACGAGCAAAGGGGGAAATGCCAACAGGGAGGTCACGAGCAAAGGGGGAAATGCCAACAGGGAGGTCACGAGCAAAGGGGGAAATGCCAACAGGGAGGTCACGAGCAAAGGGGGAAATGCCAACAGGGAGGTCACGAGCAAAGGGGGAAATGCCAACAGGGAGGTCACGAGCAAAGGGGGAAAATGCCAACAGGGAGGTCACGAGCAAAGGGGGAAATGCCAACAAGGAGGTCACGAGCAAAGGGGGAAATGCCAACAGGGAGGTCACGAGCAAAGGGGGGAATGCCAACAGGGAGGTCACGAGCAAAGGGGGAAATGCCAACAGGGAGGTCACAAGCAAAGAAGAAAATGCCAACAGGGTGGTCACGAGCAAAGGGGGAAATGTCAACAGGGTGATCTCAGACACAAGAGAATCAGCACAAAACAGGGATCCAAAAGCGTAAACTCACACAGGCGCTCACGGGAAACACAAGGGGTCTGACACAAGAAAGATGACTTGTTGCTCCAACGAAAAGCAACAAGTGAGAGAGTGCTAAGTAGGGGAAGAGGTGTGCAGATTGGCTTCAGCCCTGTGGAATCCCATAGGCTGACAGCCAAGCACCAGGGACCCACATGAAAATCTGGCATGGATTGCTGGACACTGTGACAACAAATTAGTAAACTAAACCTGAGATTGTAGTCCATCCCGGGAGCGAGCTTAGAGGTGTGGCTACTTTACAACACACACACAGGGACCACTGGGGACAAGTGTATACATAGGTGTCATGAGGTTCTGCAAAACCTCTGTGTTGCCGGGGTCAACAGCCAACAATATGCAAGACAAATGCTAGAGAGGTGTAAGTCTATAGACAGATGGTAAAGACAAACAGCAGACAATGGCAGACTGATGTCTAGGTTGGGCATAGACAAAACGAGTGGTTCCAGACAGGTATATTGAGCAGTAACGGACAATAGCATAGTTAGTTAAGAGGCCAGTATTAAAGATAAGACATAGACAAGCTAATAAATATAGTCCCATGAATAAAAGGAATACTCCAAGATATGAACAGACAGATAGAAGTCAGAGAGACCTCTGTCCAGGGCATGAGTAAACAGACAAACCAGTTGTTCTGGATTTGGCTCAATTTAAAGTTCACAAATGCGATCAGGTGTGCACAGCAGATACTTGATCAACAGCACTGAGTTAAGGTGCCCATACACCTTGCGATCATCGGGCGAAACTTTTCGTCCGATGATCGAACCGTCGTACGACTTTCGTACGGCGGCCCCATCCTGCCCCGATTATCGCAAGGTTCAATCAGCAGTAGTAAAAAAAAAACACCTGGACGAATTGCGGTAATCGACCGCATGTATTTTCATTTGCGCATGAGCAGTGTTAATCGTATGACTTTTGATGCACGGAAACACCACTAACCTTGCAAAAATCGTACGATCGACTGAAATTTTCAAACATGCAGGAAAGACAAAAGTCGTACGATTGTACAGTACTGGCGGTTGCACACTACCCATACACCTTACGATTGTCGTACGAAAAGTCGATCGCATACGATAATCGTGCAATTATCGTTAGGTGTATGGGCACCTTAACCTCCTGCCGTCCGCCCGTTGAGAAAAAATGGACGGACGGCAGACTCACACATGCGGGTTGCTTTTTTTTTCTGCTCCCGCGCGTGCACGGGCAGAAGAATCCCGCCCGTTCTTTACAGCCGTCACCGGCTGTTTCACATACAACCAATCAGCGGCTCTATAGCCTGCCGATCGTATGTATGTGCTGTCTTTGCGCCCCTCCTCGAATGCCGCCACCGACGCCCCCCTCCTGACCCCTCACCTTCAATCCTGGGATCAGCTAGCCCATCTGCGGCTCGGGAGGGCGTCAGGAGGTAAGATGGGAGGGAGGTCAGCATCTTCCTCCTTGCTGATTTCCCTCCGAGGTCTGAATGCAGAAGTGATGTGTATTACATCACTTCTGCATTCACCTGTCAGTCATCTGGCTGCTATAGCCAGAGAGAAGAAGCAGATGGAGCAGATCTGTGCTTCATCAGCTTCTTTTGGGGTTCCCAGGTGACATTAGAGGTCTTAGAGACCCCTAATGTCTCCATAAAGAGGACCTGTCAGTGTGCCTGTGCTATCACTTTGCTTTGTCAAATAAGTAAAAAAAATATGAAAGTCACATATAAAAAAGTAAAAAAAAAAAAAAAATGAAAGCCATCAAAAACTGATGAGCGGTAAAAGCTTTTATAGCGTCGCCTATGGCCAATTTTGGGTATGGTAGTTTTTTTAGGTTTCGCGTGCGCAATTTTAAGGCTTGACATGTTTGGTGTCTGTTTACCCGACGTGAACTCTTATATTTTAGCAAAAACATTGGGTAATAATAAATGTTTTATCATTTAATATAGGGGAAACAGTATTTTTTTTGTTTTTTAATTTTCTGTAATTTTTCCTTATTATATTAAAAAATAAAAACCCGTAGTGGTGATTAAATACCACCAAAAGAAAGCTCTATGTGTCCCTAAAAAAATGGTATAAAATTCATTTCAGTACAGCGCTGCATGACGGAACAAATTTCAGTCAAAGTACCACAGCGCTGAATACTGAAAAATGGCCGGGACAGGAAGGGGGTGAAACACCGCGGACTTCAAGTGGTTAAGGACCAGCAGATGGCAAAGGTTCATTAAAGGAGAGCTATGAGGTGGGTGCTTTTTCACTCACCTCATAGTTCTAGCCGACCTGTGACAATGAGACTGTCACAGGTCGGCTCAGTAGATCGGGAGGTGAGCGAACACATACCGGCGTTCGCTCACCTCTCCATCCTGTCACAGCTCTCTGCCGTGACAGAGGAGGGGATGGATTCCCCCCTCCCCGCTCCGATCCGCCAGCGCTGACTGGCGGATCGGACGGGGGAGGGGCTGGGTACAGCTGGCTCTGCCTCTAGATAGGCAGAGCCAGCTGTCAGTCACGCAGCTGGGCGGATCCCGGCACAATTGTCGGGATCCACTTCAGCTGTGGCGTCTCAGTATACCGCGAGCTGTAGCTTGCGGTATACTGAGCCTAGGGTGACGGGAGGACGCTAGTTTGTGTCCTCCCGTTACCCTAAGGAGAACTATGGGGGAAAGCCTTAACCCCATAGTTCTCCTTTAAAATTACTTTATCAACACTTTTGTGTGACAGTCTTTAAGTAGATCACATTTTATTCTATGTAAAAATATTAAGGCAAGGTCACTGAAAAAAGCAGCTTCACTTCTGATCTCCACATGAAGCTGAAATAGCTCATATCAATTTATTATAATACAGTGTCTGTCACATTTACTTGCACTGAAGGTTATCTGGCTCTATAAAAAATGTTTATTTAATCAGTCCTTTCATTAAAAACATATCTTTTGTCTTGTTTGATTACATTGAAGGTTCAGTTTTGAATACTTCCAGCAGCTCCAAGCGATGTTGTTTGCCATAGATGAGATCACAAAGAGTCCAACTATTCTTCCCAACATCACGCTGGGCTTCCAGGTCTATGACTCCTGTCTGGTGATACAGCAAAGTTTAGAAGGTGTATTGCACTCATTGACAGGAAACGGGATGGCTATCCCCAACTACCGATGTCTTCAAGGTGTCCCCCTAAGTGCTGTCATTAGTCACCCATCATCCACACACTCTGTACTCCTGGCTCAAGTTCTCGGGCTCTTCCGCTACCCTCAGGTAACTCACACCGAGTTGATCATTTCAAATACGTTATACAGTATTATGACATTTGGGGCATTGTTTTGTGTAAATGTTTCTATCAGTATGGAAGCAAGGGTTGAAATGTTAAGTAATTAGAGCATTACTTCCTCTATGAGTTCTAGGAATATACACTATATTGCCAAAAGTATTGGGACGCCCCTCCAAATCATTGGATTCAGGTGTTCCGTGAAATTTCCTTGCTACTCAATATTTCACGGTCACCTGTTAGTGATATTATAACAAAGTGGAAGCAACTGGGAACAACAGCAACTCAGCCACAAAGTGGTAGGCCATGTAAAATGAAAGAGCGGGGTCAGCGCATGCTGAAGAGCACAGTGTGCAGAAGTCCTTCAGATTGGCACAGCAACAGTGCGTAGAGAGCTTTATGGAATGGGTTTCCATGGCCGAGCAGCTGCATCCAAGCCTTACATCACCAAGTGCAATGCAAAGCGTGGGATGCCGTGGTGTAAAACTTGCCACCACTGGACTCTAGAGAAGTGGAGACGTGTTCTCTGGAGTGACCAATCACGCTTCTCTGTCTGGCTGTGTCTGGGTTTGGAGGTTGCCAGGAGAACGGTACTTGCCTGACTGCATTGTGCCAAGTGTAAAGTTTGGTGGAGGGGGGATTATGGTGTGGGGTTATTTTTCAGGGGTTGGGCTTAGCCCCTTAGTTCCATTGAAGTGAACTCTTAAGGCATCAGAAGACCAAGACATTTTGGACAATTCCTGTTCCAACATGATTGCGCACCAGTGCACAAAGCAAGGTCCATAAAGACATGGATGGGGGAGTTTGGGGTGGAGGAACTTGACTGGCCTGCACAGAGTCCTGACCTCAACCCGATAGAACACCTTTGGGATGAATTAGAGCGGAGACTGTGAGCCCGGCCTTCTCCTCCAACATCAGTACCTGACCACAGAAATGGTCCAACATTCCCATAGACACACTCCTAAACCTTGTGAACGCCTCCCCAGAAGAGGCGGAGCTGTTATAGCGGCAAAGGGCGGGCCAACTGAATATTGAACCCTACGGACTAAGACTGGGATGCCATTAGTTCTTGTGCTTGTAAAGGCGTCCCAATACTTTTGGCAATATAGTGTATATGCAACTTCAAACATTGGGATATTTCTTAATACAGTTTCTTTATATGTCTGGTGACTCCAGTGCTGCTACACGTAGTCCACACTGCGACCCTAAAATGTGATGAAGTGATGACACCTTCACCTGTGATGAAGTCTGACACCTAGTAACCTTACAGTGACACTAAACTCAGAATTGAGACTTTGGTAATGATGTGTGTCAAGGGGATACAGGGTTTGGACTATCCTGAGGACACACAAGTCGTAAAATGACAATAAACTCAGGAATTAAACATTAAAAATGCATTCAAGTACCTTAACTATGAACAAAAATCTATCTTATTTGTGTATCACTCGGCTGTAGACCCTCCAATCATCTCTGAATTGGTGATGACACTGTCTTTCCTTCTGGAGGGGTGCTCCTTTTGTTCCCCATGGTCCCTGTGTGTGTTGTAAAGTAGTCACCTCTCCAAGATCACTCCCGGGATGGACTACAATCTCAATACAAATGAGTAAACTAAACCTGAGATTGTAGTCCATCGTGGGAGCGAGCTTGGAGTGGGGGCTTCTTTATGGAGTTGCCCACCCCTTGCCTAGGCAGAGTAACTGAATGGGCCTCAAGAATAGTTATTGAATGATATAAGATGGAGCATATTAATAAAAAGTATACTGTTGCAGTATAGTGTGACATGTCTTTTTTGCTTACGTGTAAAGTTCATAGTGAAGGACCAAGAAGACACTTAACATGTCCCATGGTATATGTGATACTTAGTGCCCCATTTACAAATCAACAGTATGGTCTTAACAGGGCCATGCATAGGCTTAACTATAAAAGCACAGAGCAGTTCCCTCTGCTTAATGTTGCAGAGAGAACTCCATGACTAGAATCGAGGCCAATGACATGACATTGCCAATCTCTTACAATCATGGAGCTCTCATTGACCCATAAGGCATAGATAACTCAACTGGACACTGGAGGCTTCACACCGTTGCCTGCATTTTATGGATAGAAACAGAGAAGAATGATGGCAGACCAAGTGGTCCATCAAGTCTGTCCCTTTTTTGAGTTTTTTTTTCTTGTTTTGGATTTTTAACCTTTTTGTTTTAGTAAAGAACTATGTTTGTCCCAAGAACACATATGTGTGACACATGTGCAGTGTGGACTAAACACCAGTGGATAGTGATATACTCTATACTATAGACCAGTGGTTCTCAACCTGTGTAACCTCATGACCCACATTTGTCCTCAGTCATTAAGTCATGACCCAAGTCGCACTGCAATGGAACGCACAGCATTACGGTACCATGCGTTCCGGTGCGGCCGATCGAACTGTGGGTTGGTAGGTGCATTTGGGATGCCATTCAAAAGCCTGGGGTCCAATGTGGGCTGTTGTACTGTGATGGAGCTCCATCCATATGTGCAATGCTTGCACAGCTCGATGGTTGACATCAATCTGGTCCAGGCACACAAGGGAGTTATAAGTATGGATGGAGCTCCCTCACAGCCGTAGCCCCAGCCCATCCGAACTAGGGATGGTCCGCCGGTTCGAGCTTTCGCCGAACGCCGAACTTTATTGGATGTTCGCGGTCTATTCGACCTGTCACTGCTAGCTCCGCCCAATTGTTTATGTCTTGCTGGCATCTGTCAAAATGCCATTATGTGGCGGGAGTCCGCGGGGAGCGGAAAGGACGGTGGCCGGCGTTTAAAAAAATATTTTTTATTTTTTATTGTTTTATTTTTTATTTTGTCGTCGTCGTGGACAACGCTGGACATCGTGATTGACCCTGGATTACGTCGGTGGATCCATTTTAAAAAGAAATAAATAAAAGACATGTCAAAAACATGTCTTTTTTTTAAATTAAAGGATTTTATCAAGTCTGGACTTTTTAATAACTATTCCTCTCCCAATCCGGGCCCTCTCTTTTCTACCAAACCAGCACTGCCTTTCCACTGGCAGCAGCTGCAATCCGCGCACCCTGATTTCTATTCCCCTACTACCTAGAACCGGTCCTTCCTTCTCATGTGCCCTCTGGAATGCACGCTCTGTCTGTAACAAACTCACCGCTGTCCACGATCTTCTTTTCTCCAATTCCTTTAACATGCTAGCTGTTACTGAAACCTGGCTTCAGGAATCCGACTCTGCCTCCCCTGCTGCCCTCTCCCATGGTGGCCTCCACTGGACGCACTCACCCAGACCCAATGGACGGAAAGGAGGTGGAGTGGGAATCCTTCTATCCCCACAATGCACTTTTCAAGTTCTGCCTTCACCTCCCTCTCTATCCCTCTCCTCTTTTGAAACCCACTGTATTCGCCTATTCTCTCTGATTTCTCTGAGGATTGCTGTTACATACCGGCCACCAGGACCAGTATCTCGCTTTCTGGATGACTTCTCTGCCTAGCTACCCTACTTTCTCTCCTCAGAAACATCCACTATCATTCTTGGTGACTTTAACATTGCTAATAACATTAACATCCCGGCTTCCGCTCAATTTCTTAACCTAACCTCTTCTTTTGATCTAACACAATGGTCAGACACTCCTACTCACTCTGATGGTAACATACTAGATCTTGTTTTCTCTCACCTATGCACTCCTTGCAACCTCGCCAACACCCCTTTCACCCTCTCAGACCCCAACCTTCTCAGTTTCACCCTCATCCTATCCCCAACACTGAATCCACCTACACGGCACACTGTCACCCGGAGAAACCTTTGCCACCTCGACCCTTCTCTTCTCTACTCTGCTACTGACTGCCTCTATGACAAAATGTCACCCCTGTCCTGCCCTGACCTGGCTACTTCTGTCTACAACAGCTCCCTCTCATCCTCTCTAGACACCTTGGCTCCTCTCACTACTCGCAGGCTTAGACCACGACCACTACAACGTGGCAAACAAATGAAACCAGAAATCTCAAGAGACATAGCCGCACTCTTGAACGACTGTGGCGAAAAACTAGGTCTCTGCAAGACTTCACCCTGTACAAAGCTGCCCTGATTTTGTCACTCTCATTCACAAACTCTCATTCAGACCCCGCCAACTCTTTTCTACTTTTAACTCTCTACTATGTCCTCCACCACCACCGCCTACAAACTCACTCACTGCCCAGGACATTGCCATTCATTTAAAAAATAAAATAGATACAATTGGGGATCAGATCGCCACTGTCCAATCAACTTCCCCTATTAATGTACCAGACCCTCCCTCACACTTGTTACTTTCCTCTTTTGTCCCTGTCACCACAGAGGAAGTTACAAAGCTCCTCTCTGACATCCACCTCACCACTTGCCCCCTGGACCTTGTTCCCTCACCACTACTTCGGTCACACTCTTGCTCTATCCTAGACTCTCTTACTCACATTTTCAATCTCTCACTCTCTACTGGAATCTTTCCCTACCCTCTGAAGCATGCCCTGATCACCGCAATACCCAAAAAACCCTCAATGGACCCTACCGACCTCAATAACCTCAGACCTATCTCCTTACTCCCATTCACCTCCAAACTACTAGAATACCTCATCTACAGCCGCCTGAGCCGCCACCTCTCTGATAATAACCTTTTCGACCCCTTACAATCTGGCTTTCGCCCCATACACTCCACTGAAACCGCCCTCCTAAAACTCACTAATGACTTACTAACAGCTAAAAACAACGGCCACTATTCCTTACTCTTGCTATTAGACCTCTCTGCTGCTTTTGACACTGTTGACCACCTGCTCCTCCTCAAAAAACTCCAGTCACTTTGCTACAAGACTCTGCTCTCTCCTAGTTCTCCGCCTACCTAAACGCTCCTTTAGCGTTACCTACAAAATCTAACTCCTCCCTTTCTCTGTTCCTCTTCCTCTTTCTGTAGGGGTCCCCCAAGGCTCTGTCCTTGGACCCCTTCTCCTATCTACACTTTCTCCCTTGGTCAGTTAATAACCTCACATGGCTTCCAATACCATCTCTATGCCGATGACACTCAAATATATCTCTCTACTCCGCAACTCTCCCCCTCAGTGTCCTTGCGTGTCACTAATCTACTAAATTACATATCAGTCTAGATGTCACAACATTTCTTAAAATTCAACCTTTCAAATACTGAACTCATGATATTCCCTCATATCATGAGGGCCAAGGTCCCAACATCCAATCACTATCCAAATCCTGTCGCCTTCACCTTCGCAACATCTCCAAAATACGCCCCTTCCTCACCAATGAAATCGCAAAATTACTCATCCACTCCCTTGTTATATCTCGTCTTGACTATTGCAACTCCCTCCTCATTGACCTTAAGGGCCTGGTAGGTAGGGACTTTAAGGGGGAACCCCTTCCACTACACAGGCTTCTCCCCCTTCAGTCTATCATGAATGCAGCTGCTAGACTCATTCACCTAACCAACCGTTCAGTGTCTGCAACCCCTCTCTGTCAATCCCTCCACTGGCTTCCATCCCCCACCCCCCGGTCAATCCCTCCACTGGCTTCCAATAGCCCAAAGGATAAAATTCAAAATATTAACAATCACTTACAAAGCCATCCACAACTCTGCCCCCGGATATATCTCAAACTTGGTCTCAAAGTATCACCCTAACTGTCCCCTCCGCTCATCCCTAGACCTCCTGCTTTCCAGCTCCCTTGTCAACTCCTCCCAGGCTTGCATCCAGGACTTCTATATAGTCTCTCCCATCCTCTGGAACTCTTTACCCTAACCTGTCCGTCTGTCGCCCACCTTGACTGCCTTTAGGCGATCCCTAAAGACTCATCTCTTCAGGGAAGCCTATCCCACCTCAATCTAACCACTCGACTATCACGTTCTCAAACAGTTCATCCCCACACAGATACCTCCTCATGTATCACTTCACCCTCCCTTTTAGATTGTAAGCCCTCAGGGGCAGGGCCCTCCTTACCATCTTGTCTTGATTTGTATTGTGATTGTAATGTCTTCCTTATATTGTAAAGCGCGGCACAAACTGTTGGCGTTATATAAATCCTGTACAATAATAATATTTTATTTAACCCTTTAGTGAATGGGTAGGGGTACAAGTACCCCTTACACATTCACAAAGGAGGGGGGGGCGGCATCTGGGTGCCCCTTAATTAAAGGGGTACCCCGATGCAAATAAGCTCCCTTGCCCGCAGACCCCCACAACCACCGGGTCAGGGTTGTGGGGAAGAGGCCCTTGTCCCCATCGGCACAGGGACACCCTTCGCGTGCTGAGGGTATGTGGCCAGGTGTGGGAGGCGCTTGCTTGTCCCCCCCCCCCTTTCTGGCCTTGCCAGGCCTATGCTCGGATCAAGGGTCTGGTATGGAATTTTAGGGGGGACCTCATGTCCCCCCCCCCATTTTTGGCAGTGGGGTTCCTTCTTAAAATTCCTACCAGACCTTAAGGGCCTGGTAGGGACTTTAAGGGGGAACCCCACACACTTTTTGTGTGTTTTTGTTACACGGGGTCCCTCCTCACTATTCCTACCAGACCTTAAGGGCCTGGTATGACTTCAAGGGGGAACCCCACACACTTTTTTTGTGTTTTTGTTACACGGGGTCCATCCTCGCTATTCCTACCAGACCTTAATGGCCTGGTATGACTTCAAGGGGGAACCCCACACACTTTTTTTGTGTTTTTGTTACGCGGGGTCCATCCTCGCTATTCCTACCAGACCTTAATGGGGGAACCCTACGCTTTTTTAAAAAAAAGAATGGTCCCTCCTAACATTCCTACTAGACCTAAAGGGTCCGGTATTGTTTGGGAGGGGGAACTGCACACTTTTAGAGTAAAAAAAACACGGGGGTGTTCGGCCCATCACTAATCCCAACACAAGCAGACACTCGGCACCGGGCAGCATATTTTGAATGGCTGCTTGGCACGAGAACGGACAGTGCTGTGAAAGGGGAAGGCAGTAGAGCCTCTCACCCAGAAAAGTGGAAGGCACACGGCGACCCACTGAACATGGGGTCGCGACCCCCTTTTGGGTCATGACCCACCAGTTGAGAACTAAGGCTATAGACCAGGGCTCAAAATTACAATTTGGGAGTGAAAATTGCGTGGGGGCGAGTGGAAATTAAGCCATTGAGTCAAGCACTCGGTCATGTACCGAGTACCCAACTCCTGGAGGAATACCAGATGGCTTACCCGTATGCTGCCGCCCACAGCAGTCCACCTTTCCATGTAAAGATGGCTGGATGACGGCAGCCATCTTTACTAAGGTCCGTTGTTCGACTGAGAGCCAGGTGTTCAAGTGAGCGCCAATCAGAATCCTCCTTTTTCCCGCGCCAATCATTGAAGACACTGACTGGGCGGTCTAATAAGAGGCGGGCGGTGATTGGCTGTTTGGTCCTGTGCTGTCCGTGATCGATGTAGTAGGTGAGTAGTGGAGGCGGGGGAGAGCGCCGAGTGGCTGTAGTGGGATGTTGTAGGTGTGCAGGGCTGGTTCTTTCCATGTCATTAAGCTGTTAGAGCTCAACCAAAGTATGTTAGCCATTTCCAGGAACTGTACAGAACCATACAGGGTGCCTTCTAGCTTATTAACCCCTTTAAGCCCGGAGTGTTACACCCCTGTCCTGTCCCGGTGTTCTATCATTCCAGGGCAGGACAAGGCAACTAGTGGCGAGTAACTTTGAAGTCCTGGCTAGTAGCTCAGGACATGACATTTTGAGCCCTGCTATAGACTGTATGCTAATAGGATGCAAGTCTATCACAACAAGATAAAGAAAACAGATATCTATTTATAACACATTAGTATTCCTCTGTCTTGTCTTAGAATATTAGATTTTGAAGAAAAATTTAACGGGTCTACAGTATATTAATTCTCATTAAATGTAACATTTGTTTCCTCCAAAAGATTAGCCATTTTGCTACAAGTCCTCTCCTCAGCGATAGAAAAAGGTTTCCCTCTTTCTTCAGAAACGTTCCTAGTGATGCTTCCCAGGCCAGGGGCATAGCCCAGCTGTTGCTACATTTTGGTTGGACATGGGTAGGTCTGCTGGGTTTAGACGATGATTATGGACAGCAAGGCATTCAGCTTGTCAAAAAAGAGGTCACCCAAGCTGGGGCATGTGTGGCTTTTACTGAAAACATAGTCTCCAATCAACCTGACCTAAATGCCCCACATATTGTCAACGTCATAAAAAAGTCAACAGCAATGGTGGTGGTTGTCTTCTCCCAGGACATCGAGTTTGCTGTGGTACTGGCTGAAATGGTGAGACAGAATGTTACCCGAAGAATTTTTGTGGCCAGCGAGACTTGGTCAACTTCTACCCTCTTCTCTATGGGAACCCTTCAACAGTTTGTTTCTGGCACAATTGGATTAGCCCTCCACGGTGGGATAATCATGGGATTTAAGGAGTTCCTTACTAAAGTCCATCCTTCCTCACCCTGGGGAGGAAAGTGGGTGAAGATCCTGTGGGAGAAAACTTTCAATTGTACATTAATGGACAATAGCAATGTCACGAGTGTTCCAAGCACTTCCATCAAACTGTGTACAGGGGAGGAAAGCCTTGAAAGAGTTCAGAACAGCTTCACCGATGTCTCCAACTTGCGAGTCACTTACAATGCTTACATAGCCGTACAGATTGTAGCCAGAGCTCTGGAAGATCTGAGAAGTTGCTCCAACAATGACAAATGTGCCAGTGTTTCCAGTTTCTATCCATGGCAGGTACTAAACATTTTTGATTTTTAGTAACATAGAGTTGTAATGTTTTTGCCAAGAAAATAAACTTAGCTGAAGGGATTTTATTTAAAAATGCAAGCTTTTAAGTAAATTTAATTGTTTGGATCAACAAATGTACTGTATGTATTCATTATATTTTTATTTCTTGACACCAGAACAATTTGCTCCATTTTACTGACCCACGTGCACATTTCATAGGTTAGTGAGACCTTCACAGGGCCTAAAATACACTATATTGCCAAAAGTATTTGGACGCCGGCCTTTACACATACATGAACTTTATTGTCATCCCAGTCTTAGTCTGTAGGGTTCAATATTGAGTTGGCTTCGCCCTTTACCGCTATAACAGCTTCAACTCTTCTGGGAAGGCACCCACAAGGTTTAGGAGTGTGTCTATGGGAATGTTGGGCCATTTGTGAGGTCAGATACTGATGTTGGAGGAGGAGGCCGGGCTCGCAGTCTCCGCTCTAATTCATCCCAAAGGTATTCTATGGGGTTGAGGTCAGGACTCTGTGCAGGCCAGTCAAGTTCCTCTACCCCAAACTCCCCCATCCATGTCTTTATTGACCTTGCTTTGTACACTGGTGTGCAGTCATGTTGGAACAGGAAGGGGCCATCCCCAAACTGTGCCCCCAAAGCTGGGACCATGTAATTGTGCAAAATGTCTTGGCTGATGCCTTAAGAGTTCCCTTCACTGGAACTAAGGGGCCAAGAAAACTTTACACTTGGCACAATGCAGTCAGGCAAGTACCGTTCTCCTGGCAACCAATGGCCATCCAATGGCCAGACAGAGAAGCGTGATTGGTCACTCCAGAGAACACGTCTCCACTTCTCTAGAGTCCAGTGGCGGCGTGCTTTACACCACGGCATCCGACGCTTTGCATTGCACTTGGTGATCTAAGGCTTGGATGCAGCTGCTCGGCCATGGAAACCCATTCCATGAAGCTCTCTGCGCACTGTTGTTGTGCCAATCTGAAGGCCAAATGAAGTTTGGAGGTCTGTAGCTATTGACTCTGCAGACAGTTGGCGACTTCAGCACACTGTGCACTTCAGCATGCGCTGACCCCGCTCTGTCATTTTACGTGGCTTACCAGTTCCTGGCTGAGTTGCTGTTGTTCCCAGTTGCTTCCACTTTGTTATAATACCAGTAACAGTTGACCGCTGAATATTTATTAGCCAGGAAATTTCACGGAACACCTGAATCCAATGATTTGGAGGGTGCACCAATACTTTGGGCAATATAGTGTATCTTCCAAGCCCTTAGTTGTCATTCAACTTTAGTTAGAAACAATCAGCAGGGTTTTTTGACTCAGCGCCTTATAAAATGACAGGCTCTAGCTACAGCATGGGAAGAAAATGTTTAACTACACAGAGCAGAAAAACTGTTTTTATTTTTTTTACAGGGCTTAGTGGACAACTTAGAAGTTTACACATTTTTTTTTGATCCACCAAGAGACCAACTGCCTATAGCACTTGGTCCCGTTCGTATCAGTGGCCCCATTGTGGAACAAACTCCTTTTTATTTATGATAATGCTATCGCCATCCCAGTCTAAAGCCTACAATATGGGAGCTACTGTAGGGTGAAGAACAGCCAGTGTTAAAAACCCGCCCCTCTCTTAGCTGACTGTATTTTTTACTCTAATCAACAAACAATCAGTGCTACAGAGCTGTGTGATAGAGCTTCTGGCTGCTGGTAAACATACAGAGCAGTGGAAGCTCTTACACGGAGCCATGCCAGTGCTGATTGTTCTTTCGTAAAAGATCACTAAGCTTTGCAGGACTGTGATCAGGGCCGGATTTACTCCACCTGCCGCCCCAAGGCCAGGTTCCCTAATCCCCCCCCCCGCGCCGCTACCCCCCCTCCCCATCAATTGAGAATGGCAACCAGATGGCACCCACAAGGTCACCGCTGCCGCCCATCTGCGCTCTGCCGCCCCGAGGCCGGGCCTCGGTGGCCTTGTGGGAAATCCGGGCCTGACTGTGATCCTGTAAATACACAGCCCCAGCAGATAGATCATAGCCTGCAGCACTAAGTATCCTCTCATGAATGGAAGCACTGGTCTCCAGACTGGCCCTTGCTGCCAGAGATCAGCGCTGTCACTCAAAACCCTATCTCCGTGCTAGAAGTGTTGGGTGCTTATACTGTCTGACCAAGCTGCTTGGCAATGACGAGATGGATTTGAACGGGGCCAAGTGCTATATGCACTTGGTTCCCTAGCAGGCAAAGTAAAAAATAGAAATGTTTAGTGATACTTCTTATTTCGCACTTTTGTGTTGGAACATGGACAATAATATCACATTGCCAGTTAATTGTTACAAACAGATTTAAAAGTGTTCACATTTTTGTTTTTCCTCCACACCAGGTAGAACATTTTCTTTATTCATGAAAATCATGTCCCCCCCTTAATCTTCTTACTTCCAACGTGAACATATTTAAATTTAGTAGCCTTGTCACATAGCGTTGGTCTTAATTCCCCTTAGTTAGTTTGATTGCCCTCCTCTGGACTCTTTCCAGCTCAAGGGCATCCTTTCTGTGGATTGGGGACCAAAACTGGACCGCATACTCCAGATGAGGGCGAACCAGCGATCTGTAAAGTGGCACAATTATAGATTTGTCTCTACAGTACATCCCCTTCTTGATACAGGACAGGACTCTACTTGCTTTGTTTACAGCAGCCTGGCACTGCGAGCTATTATTCAATCTGTGGTCTACAATGAACACCAAATCTTTTTCCATATCTGACTTCCCACTTCAATATGGTGTGCTAGTGACATCTTTAACAAGTTTCAGTATTGGCGGCGCCATCCGCGGTCACTTCGAGCACCCACGCTGACAGGGATACCAGGTAAGGGGTGCAGCAGGATTCTGGAATATATATAAGCTGAAATTTAGAGGTACAAGCTGCACAGTGTCAGCCGGTGAGTTTTCAGGAAAAGATGTTCACTAACCCATCCCAGGACAGGGAATCATCTTGGGAAATGTCCATTTACAGATTTCAGGCAGGAAATGGTTATACACATTTTATACAAAACAGTTTATCGTGAACACATTTCTTCCCGTCTCTGACTTTGCAGCTCCTTCCCTACATGAAAAGGGTCAGGATGAAACTGAGCAGTGGGATGGAGCTTTACTTTGATAAAAATGAAGATCCACCAGCAGTCTATGACATTGTGAACTGGTATCTGAGTCAAGAGGGAACCATTCATCACTTCAAGGTTGGCAGTTATGACACAACAGCAACTCCTGGTCAAGTATTCAGAGTTAACACCAGCATCATCCAGTGGCCGACCGGAGAGCAACAGGTCTGTCCATGGGAATTGCATATTTTACATTTCAGATTATGAATGAATATCAATAGGCAGAACCACAGAGCATATTATTTGATTACATCCATGTGGCTTCACAGAGGGGTTTCCTACTTTTCACAGCTCCAGGGCTTTGCCAGAATCATAAACTGTAATGACAAATATGAGCAGCACTTATACATACTAGATACATTCTGACATTAGGCCCTTATCAATTCAGTTCTGATGGCACTAGGGTTGCACAGATACTTCGAGTACCAGTGCAGATACTTGGCATTCTCATGAGAACTACTGGGGTTGCAGCGGTTGCAGCTGGGACCGGGCTCTGGCGCTCCACCACTGTCCTGAAATCATTAGTCTGCATTGTTGTAGAAAAACTGTCACATGACAATAAACAAAAATGTATCAGTACTCATACTCGCAAAAATGGTATCACTGCATCCCTTTATTTATATTTATAAAAACAAAAACATACAATAAAACAGAGATGTACTAATCCCGGGAGCTCCGTGTGCTCCTTACAAATGACAGCTGCCTCCTAATTTTTGAATTTTTCTCTAGTGTAGTCTTGGAGCTCAAAAGTATCGGTACCTGTACTCCTACTTGTACCGAGTACTGTACTTGGTATCTGTGCAACCCTAGATGGCACATTACAAAGGCATTGTAAAAATGTGTGCACGTGCTTCAGCTTGTAAAGGAGCAATTTGAGAAGCAAGCTCTACAGAGCACTTAAAAATCTTTCATCTAGCTTGAAGTAACTTTCTAGAAGACCTCTCATCCGGTCTGGCCCATTTTGCTCAGTAAAATGGGAAAACCATAGTATTACTGAAATTTATTGGCACTAAAAAGTGTATGGGGAGGAACCCCACCCTCAAAAATGGGGGAAAAAACATGGGGTCCCGCCTAAAATTCCATACCAGACCCTTGATCTGAGCATAGGCCTGGCAGGACCGGAAAGGGAGGGGACGAGCGAGCGCCTTCCCTCCCACACCAGGCCACATGCCCTCGGCACTGGGAGGGTGTCCCCGTGCCGATGGGGACAAGGGCCTCGTCTCCACAACCCTGACCCGGTGGTTGTGGGGGGGTCTGCGGGCAGGGGGGCTTATTTGCATCTGGGTACCCCTTTAATTAAGGGGGCACCCAGATGCCGCCCCCCCTTGTGAATGAGTAAGGGGTACTTGTACCCCTACCCATTCACTAAAGGGTTAAATAAAATAGTTAGTAAAAAGTCCAGACTTTTGATAGAGAGCGAGAGAGAGGGGAGGTGGAGAGCGAGTGAGAAAGAGAGAGAATCTAGTCTGCCTTTTTCCTAGAGAAGGTGAGAAGGTAATCCCCGTTTGAGCTATTCCCCACAGCATGTATGACTTGTCTGAGTCTCTGCAGGAATCAGTCTGCTGTTTGACACCTTGGTCCAATTCTTGATCCCTGGTCATCTGTGCAACCACTTCAGAAATTCCCCTGAAACGCCTTCTAGGTCTTTTTTTTCCTGCCTGGTTAGATGCTCTCACTATCCCTCTGCCGTATCTTAGCAAGAAGCGCTTGTGGAAACATCCTCTGAGGTCATGCCTGAGAATGCTGTTTAAACCTGCTCACTGCAATTGGGAGTTGTCTGAGCAAAGACCTTTGGATCCTGTACCCATAATCTCTGTCCCAGTTCTGCCGATACTCTTTTAAACCTCTGCCTGTTTCTCACCATTCCTTGTTATCCATCTACCGTTACCTCTTGCCTGTTTCTGGATGACCCTTGCTCTTTGGCTGCCCTGACCTTTTGCAAGTTTGTCCACAGCCTTGCCTGCGGATTTTGTGCCACTCCCCATTTCTGCCTACTGTCAGCTGGGGCCATAAGCTGCATGACAGTCTATTTGTACATAACAATCCCCCCAAAACAATCTTTGATATAAAACAAACACCAGGTCAACAAAAATATCTGAATATATACAAAACTACTAGTTGTCTATAATGTTGGTAGCTTTGAATAATGGGTGTTTTATGATTGGCAAATCATCAGGTCCCCCAATCAGTGTGCAGTGAAAGCTGCCCACCAGGATTTCGGAAGGCTCCTAGAAGTGGACAACCTGTCTGCTGCTTTCAATGTGTGCCTTGTCCCCAAGGAGAGATCTCCAACCAGTCAGGTAAATGATGACCAAATACTTTGCATCTAAGAGGTCTAGGAATGGTCAAAATTGTTTCATATCAATGCTGTCCATTTGTAAAGGTATTTTCCACCAGCTGGATTACTGCTATAACAACCACTTACAAAGCCATCCCCAACTCTGCCCCCGGATATATCTCAAACCTTCTCTCAAAGTATCATCCTAACCGCCCCCTCCGCTCTTCAAATGACCTTCTGCTTTCCAGCTACCTCATCAACTCCTCCCATGCTCGCCTCTAGGACTTCACTAGAGCCTCTTCCCTCCTATGGAACTCTCTACCCCAACCTGCCCATCTATCTACCACTCTGACTGCCTTTAGGCGATCCCTTAAGACTAATCTCTTCAAGGAAGCCTATCCCACCTCAACCTGACCACTGAATTATCACTTTCTCAGACAATTTATCCCCACACAGCTCGCTCCTCATGTATCACTTCCCCTCCCTTTTAGATTGTAAGCCCTCAGGGGCAGGGCCCTCCTTACCATCTTGTCTTGAATTGTATTGTGATTGTAATGTCTTCCCTATATTGTAAAGCGCTGCGCAAACTGTTGGCGCTATATAAATCCTGTACAATAATAATAATAATAATAATATTGCAGTTAGCATGCTCTATAGTTTACATGTAGACCTGCCAATTATCTGTCCAAGAGTCTAGAGTGAAAGAGCGGATAGCTTCTGTTTTTTGAAGTTGTATGCTTCCTATCAAAAAGACCCTAC